TCCCAGTCCAAGTCTCCTTGTCCAAGTCCCCTGAGGAGGACCTGACTTCCCCTCTGCCTCCGCTCACGGCTTCCGCAGTGGGCAACAGAATTGTTGGCAAAGCAAAAGGTATTAAAAAAGATTGTGAATATTTTAGTGACGATAGCAATGAAAGCCAGATGATAATTTTGTTGGATAAAACTCTTTTTTTATCTTTTGGAAAAGAAAAATCCAGACCGAATGTAGCTGGCCTTGGTTAAGCAATACTCTTTTTAACTATCCCCTCTGAAAGACAGGAATGGAGAAAACTAGTCATGTTATATTTAAGGTTGCAGGTCTTTCTTTAAGATAAAGCTTTAAGATTGTAATTTTCTCTCTCTTTGTTCGTTGCCTTTTCTGGGAAAACATCCCGACAGAATAAAGACAAAATCTGGATGGAGTGGTCGTACTTGCATATGAGCAAACGCTTTAATGCCGTCGCTGTTGGTGCAGCTTTACTGTTGAACTCCACCCCTATTTATTCGCAGGAACAACGGACAATGAACAAGCTGACGTTGTTGGGGAAGAGCACAGAAGCGCGGGACTGATTCTTAGAGTTGAGCATCCTCCAGTGATGGGCAGGGATGGCTTTTGCACGTGCAGCGAGGAGAGCGTTGTTTACAGCACTCTGCTCCATGGCCCTCGCCTGGGTAATTCCCACACTCAAGCACTAGGCAGAGGTAAGGAAGCGCAGGGAGCTCCTGGATGTCGCTGCAGAGGTTTTAGTGACACGGGCGATGTGTCTGTCGTGGTTTCTGGTCAGTTCTGACTTGCTGAGGGCTTATGGTTGTCACAGCCTAATTGTTGCTGCTATTTAGTTGTTCAAAACAGCGGCGCTAGACAGAGCCCTTGCATTTGTACAGAACTGGGGTCCTTAAATCCCGATAGAACAGAGGCAAAAAAAACAAAAAAGCCACCTAATTAAGCATACTACAAATGACCCGGATGTTACAAGCCGTAGCCTAAACAGACTAAAAGACTACATGAAAATACTGCAGCCCAAGGAGCGGCACATGATGATCTTCCCCACGGCAGTTCCTCGACTTTCATTTCCCTGGCAGGGTCCCGCGTGGGCTCCCGCGTTACCGCTCGGAGGTGCCTCCACTGTTTGTGCAGTCGCTCAGCCCTGTTCTTTGAAAGCCGCCGTTCGGGCCAGGGTCTTTGGGGAACTGCTCAGTGAGGTGCTGCCCAAACCACCTCCACAGCATAGTCTGAACGGGGTGCGTGGGGCAGCGATTCATGTCTGTTCCTGCTCTTACACCTTCCTCGTTGCAATGGGAGCTGAGGGAAGAGCCTCCAGAACACCATGCTGCTTCCCCCATGGACCACATCCGAATCCTTGGGAATCCAGCTGATAATGTGGCAAGATGCTGCTATTTGCTGATCGGTGTCTCTTTTTATCTCACTCCTGTTGTCTCTGCAGAAGGTATCCTTCAGAGTGGGCTGTATATGTAGCTGCATGTGGGTGTATGCATGTGTATGCAACATAAACATATACATAACATGCCCAGTCTTATAAAAACATAAATAAAAAGCAGATGAATATTCTGAAATCCATGTTCAATGTCTGCTGCAGCCACCCTCGTTTAGAGCTCAGATTGAAAACTGGCTAGGATTAGAATTTGGTTGCTTTAAAAATCTGGGATAGGAAAGGCATTAAAGGAGCCAAAGGCGGGTATTAGGGAACTGTTAACATGCTGGAAATAAATACTTATTTTTTTCATATGCTTTTAATTCCTTGAACTGTTCTTCGCAGATACAGTTTTTCTAAGTTTTGCCCTCTCCCATGATGAGATATTCTACGCCAGGAAGTGCCACTGTTTCCTGACTGGTGTTATCCTGGACTCGCTAAAGCAGAAGGATCCCAAAGAAATCACAGCCCAAGTTGTGACTCTCGTAAAGAGGCTTTGGGTAGGAACAAGTTCGTAGTAACCCGTGTGAGACCTGGCTCCTCCGGTTCTGGAGATGGTTCGGTGTGGGACGGGGCAGGGGGGACAAGGACACAGCCTGGTCACTGCAGCTCGGGGACCTCCTCGGTGACACGCCGCACGTGTGCTCTGTGTTGCAGACCCTGCAGATCAACCCCAAGGACTTCGTGGTGAATTTACTGCGCACGGGGTATTTTCAAGGTGACGGACACATTTGTGAAGCGCTGCTGAAGTGGGTGGAAGTAAGTGCTGTTTGCCACCAGGGGATGCAATACAGCTGAACATTCATTTGTTTTTTTAAAAAGAAAGGGGTTTGTTTTTTTTCTTTTGTTTTAAGGTATTTGTTTAAGCTAGTTCACAGATCTGTTTTTGATTATAGCCTGAGTGAAGTGAGGAGAAGGGTAATTTTGATGTGACTGATGTTAACGCAGCAGCTTAACAAACAGAAGCACAAAATTGTGCAGCTTTACAGGATTCCCTTCTGCACCAAAAGTGTGGGGACGGAGGTAGAAGACCTTTGGGGTGATGAAGAAACAGTGAGCAAAGAGTCTGTCTACTTGGTCTGGCAGCTGGTGAGTTAGCGGGGCCCTGTTTTTGTGCTTTGCAGTTTACCCTGCCCTTTGCACGGAAATACAGTCGCTGCATTGATGTCCTGATACGGAGAGGGTTTGCGAAAGCAGTATCATACTTTGCCTTAGAAATGTAAGTTTGCAGAAACATGAATAAAAATTTAACACAGTTCCTCTTTATAATGTTTTTATTTTGTCAGGTGCCTAAAAAAGCTTTTTGAAATGGGCCCAGCCCTTGTTTAACCTTGAACAGCAGCTTTATTTAGGCAGGAATCCTGGCAAGAGCCTTCTGTTTTAGGTGACAGTGCAGGCAGTGGCTTCTTTCTTACCTCTTCACTCCTTCCCAGAGGGATTATTTATCAGAAAACCCTGCTTTTCAGAGAAGGCAAATACAGCTCTAGTGCCCAGTCACCTGTGCATCTTCTCCTCCTCCTCTCCAAGCAAATGCTTTCCAGACACGGCCCTTAATTCCAGGATGGAATTCCAGGTCTGTTGAGAAGCTCTCTCTGCTCTCAGGTGCCCGAGACACCCCAATTCTAACTCACCCAGTGCCTGGGCAAAGAGTTGAACCCTGTCCTGGAGCCCTGTCTAGCCAAGGCACCCAAAGGACGTCGCTCCTTTTGCCAAACGTAGCTGCAGTCTTTTTTGGCCCCACTAAAATTAGTAGTCAACATACAATGCAAACACGATTCGTACAAAGAAAATAACCTTTATTAGGCCAATCAATCAAACCCTGAAAAAAACAGCCAGGTAAACATTTATAAAGGTTTTTTCCAGCAATTGCAGAAACCTTTTGACACTGAGGAATTGGGGAAGATTCACCTTTCTCATTGGTGTGGCAAATTCATTCCCGCTTGTGACATGACCTCCTGCTGGTTTGACAGCCCCAAATCCTGCAATAACTGAGCGAGTATCTTAAAATAGAAACTGCTAAAAAAAAAAAAAAAAAAAAAAAAAAAAAAAAAAAAAAAGCCACACCCCAAACTTTCTACTGCCTTCTCTTGTTCTGTCTAAAAGATGGAACATTAGAAAGAACAAGGGTGAAAAGTAACATTCAGCTTATTAAAATAAACAAGCACTGCATGTGCAGAACAGGAGCTGCCGAGCTCAAAAGACCGCAGTTTGCAGGCAGAGGGTAACTCCGGTGGCTGCGGGGTTTATTTTATATTTGAGAGTGATGCTCTGGGGAGGAAGGATCAAGCTCCCTCACCCCCCCGCAGCGGTTGACAGGAGGAGAAGCTGAAGTTATAAATATAACCTACAGCTCTGTCTTCTTGCTAAGGCTAAGGGTGACAGGATTTCTTGCTGAGCCTGAAGATGATGGTTTCTAGCCCTTCATAAACCAGGGGCAAATACAAGCTCAGCAGCAAGCAAATATATTGATACAGATATTTCAAAAGCACCTTGTTTCTGCTAAGAGTGTTGCAGCCAAAAAGCAAGCTTGGATGTTACTAATCATTAACGGGGAAGGTCGGAGCACAGGGTACGTCTGTCTTCCCATTGCTCTGTGCTATAGCAGGGCTGTGCATTTAAGGTTCAGCACGATGATTAAAACCCCCCCTCCTCTGCAAAGCCAGGTGGAACCGGATGCTGCTCTCATCTAAAGCTCGAGCGAGTGGTGACAGTGGGGCCACCTCCCTGCACAGACCTCGACGGCACCTCTGTGGGTGCCTCCCGAGTCAGAGGGGAGGCGGGGGGCTTGGCCCGTGCCCCCCGGGTTGCTGCAGAGCCGGGTGACTGCGCCGAGAACGAGGGCGCTCGGCCTTGTGCGGCTGCGAGAGTTGGCTGGGTCCCCAAGCCAGGAAAGGCCACCTGATTTGTGGCTGCTCAGCCTTCCTAGGGGCATCCCCACTGCTCCGAGCTCCGAGCTCTGGCCTGGCCCTCGGTACTGAGGATGTCTCCACGCAGGGAGGGCCCTGGGATCCATCCCCTCACTGCTGGCACGTGTGCTCTTGCTTTATATGGTTTAGTGGGGTTAGTGCAGCCTGGAAGAGCCAGGAAGAGCTGAGAGGTGGTTGAGAGAGAGAGTGAGAGAATAAGTAAGTTCAGCACTGAGGCACCAGAAGAATCATCTGAAAGCAACTGTTGACTGTAACAATGAACTTGCTTTTATTAAAACAGAAGTGTTAAGCCAAGAAAATAAATTATTGCTATGATAGACAAATCTAGAACATAAGGAAGAACGTTAATTTTGAACTCCAGGTCAAATACAACCCTGAAACAGAAAAAGTTAACACTACTTTTCTTAAATACCTTGACTTCAGGCCCTTCCATAAACTTTATAAAATGTGCAGCTTATAGAACAAATAGGAACAGAGTCACTTGTAACAAAAATCTGTACAGCATATAGCTTTAAAAATAGTATTTTTTTTTCAAACTGCTAGGTTATTTGCTACTTATAAATAAGGGGCTAACAAGTTTTGAACGCCCAAGGTCCCATCCAACGCAAAGATTAAGTGTCATCGACAAAACCCTTTCTGGAGCTTCCCCTAAGCCAGAGATCAGGTTTTTGGACTGTTTGAAAGAGAGCCTGATTACGTATAAAAGTATCTTCATAGATGAAGACCGTCTCCTTCTGCTGGTCAGAGGCCTGGGGTCGTCAGGGAGTTTGCAATGGCAATCACACCTGGAACACAGCACCGTGCGATGGGTTAGACTGCGCGCCCAAGACACGGCCGGCTCTGCGGCTCGCAGCTCCCTCCGTGCTGGCCAGAGGTGATTTTGCAAAACACATTTCAAGATGACGGGGTTTGTCAGGGAACGTTTTTGGTGAGGAGAGGATGTTTTACTAGAAGGGGACCCAGAATAAATGAGGCTCTGCCCACACGCTGAGGGCTGCCTCTCCTGAAGGCTCTGTGCTACCCTGAGAGTAGTGGTGGGCTGGCAAACTGCCTGTGTGACCACCTCAGCTCATGCTCATGACACACCTCGAAGGTGCTCTGCTTCCCAAAACCTTAACTTTGGCTTCCTTTTAGCTTATTATGAACTCTGGCAGATCGCAGGCCGTGGGCCTGCAACCTTGTGACAGCCCCATGGTGCAAGCAGCGAGTGCTGAACCAAGGAGCCATCTCACCACCCATCTGCATCTTGACCAGGTGACCTCAGGTACATGGTGATGCCCAGAGGAAAGGACCCATTTGAGGCCTAGTCCTACCAGACATCCACCAGAAGCCAGCAAGCAGAGAGAGCAACATCTAGCAGCTCCCCCACGCCAGCCTCACCATAACCCGAAAGGTTCCTTTCCTAGATGTTTTCTCTTTGGAGGTTTGAAGAAAATTGGGGTAAATTCAGCTTTGGGAGAACACCACGGCCTCCCCAAGGAGGGACCAATGAACAGCCATGGGAAACGGATTAGTAGTTAGACAGCTGGGTGGCACTTGGAGCAAGGAAGCTCATCTGAGCACACGGACTACACTGAGCTTGAGCCTCTGCTACCTGAGGGCGATTGTGCCTGTTTTGCTTCTGCTCCTTCCAACCAGGGCATCAGAGCTGTCGTTTAAGGCCATGTCTCTAGCTGTGGGAGTTGGCTCTTTAATCAGATGATTCAGAGCCTCAGAGGCTGGTCAGGAACAGACACGACAGACTTCTCAAGAGAGGAGCAGAAGGGGAAGAGGTTCGCCTGACTTGGAGCTGCTGATGAACCTGACCAGCACTGAGAGCTGCTGGAAAACCCTTTGCAGGAGCTACTTACAACAACTCCACTTCCTTAGGCAGAATACGTGTGCAGAGGGGCTCACACTATTGTCGAGGGACTTATGGTGACCTGGCCTGCTTTCTGCAGAGGAGAAAAGCCAGCATTAGTACAGGGTTAGAAGACAACAGCATCAGCTCTAGCTGGAAAGAAAGTGGCAGAGACGGCTCAGAAAGGTAAGAGCAGAAACGCTGACATCTCAGAGCGTCAGATTCGCGCTCCTCCCCACCACTCCACCTCATCTCTCCCCACGAAAGGCCCAGACGTTCCAGGACAGGAGCTCCATTCCTCACCAGAGCTCCATTCACTTACGCCCAGAAGGCTAAATGTACACCCCAGCCCATGCCATCCCTGCCCGGTGCTGCCTCTGCACGTCCTGTCCACAGCGTCTCCTTGGGGATCGCTGCCACTGCAGGAAAAGCTCTAACACCCCCAGGAGGAACCATCACTCCCCTCCAGCGACTCCTAGCCCCAGAGCGGCGTCTTCAGTTCCCCCGTGAGAGACTTGGACTGGGGCAGCAGCAGTGACAGGCAAAGCAAAGAGAGCCTTTTGGCTGCTCGCACTTACTGCAGAAATGTACTGGCTGTTGGTGAATTTGGGCTTCTCCTCCACGGCTGAGCTGTGCTGTGAGCTGAGGGGCGTGTAGGGGGGGGACCCCGTGTCTTCACAGAAGCTCTCCTGGGGGACGCTGGAGACGCAGCCGCTGTCGGAGCCGCTCTCTGTCGCTGGGGAAGGAAAGGAGGGGCATTGTGGTGAGTGCAACTTGGGCCTGCACGCCTTGCACCCGCTGCGGAGCACCCGCCACACAAGCTACACTCCTGCTCAGGCCTCTTCAAAGCCACAGGGGACAAAACTATCCAAAGGGGAGCAAACGGAGGGAGAGCAGGAAGCCACTGCGCACAGAGCAGGCACGCAGGACAGAACCGGGGAAGTACCCCGGGCAATGTGACCAGCACTGTAACGCCCATTGCACCTCCCAGCCAATACTGTGCATCAGAGAGCTGCAGGGCAGGGCTCACCGTGCCAGGCTGGCAGGCACAAGCACTGCTCTCCCAGGCCACGGCATCCTCGGATGGTGGGACAGTAGGAAGCAAGGTGCAGGGACAGCTTGGTGGCACAGAGCAGGGCCCCAGGCACGTGGCAGAGCAGCGGGCTCATACGTACTCAGTGAGGGCTGGCTGCTGGTCTCGTGTTCCAGCTCATCCTCCTCGATGCAGGTGCCGAAGTCAAAGGGGCGGCTGGGGGCCAGGACACCCGGCAGCAGAGCCTGGTCCAGATACATGTGAAGGTTGAGGGGCGCCAGCAGGGACGAGGAGGGAGGGCTGTAGGCAGCGGGGGTGCTGCCACCGGAGAGCTGCGCCTGCGTCCTCTTGTAGGGGTTGGAATGGTCAAACAGAGACACTGCGATTGAGGCCCTGGTCCTGGCGCCTGCCAAAAACACAGCAAGAAGCGCTCAGCCTCGCGCCGCTCGCTCACACGGGGCAGCGAGCGCATGGGCAGGCACCTACCTCTGCCCTTCATGATGTAATCGATCGCACGGTCATTGATAGCTGCCTCGCTCGGCTTGATATCCAGGAATGGCTTGTTGCCCACACCCATGGACACCATCTCCTGCATGCGGATTTCTGGAAGGGAAGAGCAAGGCAACGTAATACAGACATCCACAACCACCTCATGAGGTTGCCCCAGGCAAGAGCACTCCTGAGCGAGGCTGCCCCTGAGCTACTGAGACTAGACTGGATGACCCCTCATTCCCCAACCCTGTGGAGACTTCCCAGAGGAGGAGTCATGCCCCACTCTGGCCATGTGGCCTGGTGCCATCCAGAAGAGTTCTGGCGAGGTGAGGACAGGCAGTATTGGCAAGAGAGGAAGGATTCAGCCAACCTGACCCAGACAGCTGCACTTGATGACTCTAGTGACCAAGACTGGGGGAAATAGCAAGCATTTGTTCACTCTCGCAGGGCAAGTGGCTCTCACAGGGCAAGGGCTCCTACGCTGAAAGCTCCCGGCTCCCTCCGCTGATTTGCAGGCAGTCCAAGCAGGGGTCCATGGCTGCGCAGAGCTCGCGCTGATGGTGTCGGGGGAAGCCGGGCAGGGAAGGGGCAGTGCCCAGCACATGCTCGTGAAGCTGCATGCATGGCACACAGCTGCTCGCTACGCAGAGCCGCCTGGCCACAGGCTCCACACCTACTCAGGACGTCACGAGCTGAACGGGGCTCCCGCACCTTTTGCAGCACCGACGCCCTGGGGAGGGCTCACACCTTTATTGCGGGCTGCCTGTTGCCAAAGGATCTTGGCAATGTCGCTGGTCCAGGCCTGCTTCGTCTCGGCTGTGCTGGCCTGGAGGATGTGGGTGTCGCTGGACTTCCGCCTTCGGAACCAGATCTCGAAGCGCAGCCCACTGTCTCCAGAGTTCTCTGTGAGGCCGATGTCTGCAGTCTGCCAGGAAGAGGAAGAGCAAAGTATAAGCCAATGAGTAAACTCATTTTCAGGCTGCACAGGAGAGAAAGTTCAGCAGCTCCAGTGTGAAGGAGCCCGAGTGTCAAAAACACGGTCTGAATGCAGGGGACACAGCCAGGGTAATGTCCAGCACGTCACCTGGAGCTGCTCCCACTGCTTGGACACGTGTCTCCTGCTTCTCCCCTGTGCTCCTCATGCCTCAGAGACTGCGACTCCACAGCGCAGAGGGAGGCCCAGGTGCCTGTGCACAGAGTGCTCCCTTCCTGCTCTGCTGCACAGCCCAGCAGCGGGGCAGCCCTCACCTTGAACGAGCGCTTGTAGATGTACACATCAAAGCCACCCTCGATCTTCTTGGGCTTGCTGAAGAGGATGAGGTCCTCGAAGAGGAAGACGTGTCTCTGGCACTTCTTGCGGCCCAGCCAGATGGTGAACTCATCCTGCCGTACCAGCTGCCCCTGCTCCTTCAGGTTCACCTAGACACAGAGAACGTCCTGGTAACACATGACAAACCTCTGCAGTGGCAGCTGGAAGCAGCAGCCCAGCCCTTGAGGAACAAGGAGAGACTATCCCTGCCAGGCTGCTAAGGGCCTGCAGCACCCTTGGACACAGGGCAGCCCAAGAGCAGCTGGGTCAGAATGGTCCTTCTTGCTCCAGATCCATCTTCCTCAACCCTGAGCTCTGCGATAGATTGATTTTTTGTTCGGTGCAGTGATCACTTTGTGTTTCTAGACTTCAAATCCCACCTAGCTGCTTTCAACCTGCCCCTCGTATCAGCATGACCTTGATTTTCCTCCTGCAACCTGTCCAGCCATCTGTTACCTGCTTCATAGTCAGGAAACAGAAGGGCCCAAGGCAGCCTGCAGGGCCCTGTACTGGTACCCAGACTGTCTCAAGCCACCTGTAAGCCCTTGGGAGAGGGTTTGTGACAGGCTCACCTGGCTCAAGCAAGAGCATCCAGGCTGCTTTTCCTAGTGGGTTAACGAGACTGACAAGTCCTGCTGCTCCCTCAAACCTTTATCTAGATGGTGCTACTACTGTGGCACCCTGATCTCTGGGAATTTGAGGGGAGACTTCTCATATGATGAAAGACCTCGAGTTGAGGGCAGGGGGAGAGGAAGAGCTCGGAGAAGAGGGAACATACATCACAGTCACGGATGGCATCCATGGCCAGCAGGTCGTTGCCGTGCCGGAGCTGGAACTTGACCATCTCCTCTGCTGCGCGGAGGTAGCCCAGCTCCTCCTGCGCCTCGCTGCACTCCTTGATGAGGTCCTTCAGGAGCAGGGCGTATTTGCTCATGCGCTGGATGGGCTTCAGCAGGTAGGAGGCCAGGTCCATCTTATCCCCGAGCTGCACCTGCTTGAACTAAGAACAGCAGTGAAGAGTGAGGAGAGCAGCTCCCAAGGCAGAGCCCTGCACCCACCACACAGACACTGACACTCGCAGTTGCCCAAGGTCTCAGGGACCCCTGGTTCAGTCTGCAGGGAGTAAGATCAATGCTGCTCTTTTCTGGGCTCCTTCCCAAAGCAACTGCTGCATCTGAGCCCTCCTGCACCCACATGGGTGCAGAGAGCTGTGCCAGAAAAGCAGAGCTGAGTGGCAGCATATCTTGAACAGGAGAGCTGGGCTCATTTAAAGACATCAGTGACCCAAACATCAAGGGGGCACTGGGATGTGGGCAGTGGGTTTTACCTTAAAGAAGGTATTCCCATGGCTGGCCAGGAGCGAGTCCGATTTCGGCTTGTTCTTGCTATACAACGCGTACATCCCAAACTGGTCTTTCTGCAAAAAGAAAGGTATCCTGTGAGGCCAGGCATATCCAGGACCGTCACACAGTGAGAGCTGTGCCCTTGGGTTGGTTATTCCAGTACTGCTGCTTCTGCCAGGCCACACTAGAACCTCTTACAGGATATCAGAAAAGACTTCAAGTTGCAGAGATCATTAAGAGCCAGCACATGCTCTTGTCCTGCTCCTTTGGTAGCTATGATATTTTTTAATTGGTTCCCAGTTTCATCTTTCTGTTCCCCCTTGCTCCTTACATACTACCAAAATAAGATTAAGCTTCAGAGATTTTACTGTCCTGGCAGCATCTCTTGGTAGCCAGGAACATTGGGAAAGGCCAAGAGCATCTGCTGCTGCCTGGGCTCCGCCTTGCTTAGCCATCCCAGGCCAATCTGGTGGGCAAGGCCTGGGCTTGACTCCAACTGCCTGGAGCTGCGGAGAGCAGGCACGGGCCTAGCGTTAGAGCTGGGAAAGAGCCAAGTGATGCTTCCCACTGGTAGTACAGCTGTGCAGTGAACCAATTCACCCCTCTGAAGTTCCAACCTTTTGAAGAGGGTCCCACCACGGCCCACCGACACCCAGGAGCCCCTCTGGTGCCTTACGTGGCGCAGGAAGCAGTGGCTGACCCGCAGTGGGTGGTTGCAGCAGCTCTCCAGCTCTCGCAGGAAGTACTGACTGTGGAAGTCGTAGAGCTTCTCCAAGTTCCCAAAGATGACGCTGCGCTTCCCGCGCAGGTCCTGGGGGAGGTCAAGGCGCTCCATCTCAGGGAAGTAGCTGTCGATGATGTAGCACAGCGACCTCACGTACTCCCGCTCCGTGGTCACCATCTCGTCGATGATGTGCCGCAGTTTGCTGCAAGAGGAAACACTTGGTCCTGAAGGGGCCCTGATCAAGGCTACGTTGCAGAAATCTGAGTGTCTGCAAAGCACTGGCCCAAACCCAGGGAAACTCTCCTGAGACCCAGCCTAGAGATGATCCTCATGCACCCTCCAATCTAACTAATTCTCTGAGTCACAACCTTCTGGGATAACTATGACCCTGAGCACTGACAATATTGTGGTTGACCCAAGGAGCTGGGGAGCATTTCAAGGCTCAAATCCCAGGCTGGCTGTGGTCCTGGTCTCTGGAACCTGCTCATTCAATGTTCCCTGCCAGGCCTTGGCCAGGTGGAAGTCAGAGAAGGTAGGAAACCTTGCATGACTTCATTAGAAGCACAGGACGCTTTGGGTTTCTCTGGAAGGTCAGGAGAGCTCACAGGTTTCCACTGCAATGCAGGATGGCGGCAAACAGACCCTCCAGATGTGGGCCTGGCTTCTTTGCCAAACCCAGAGGCAAATCCAGTGGTCTAAAGGGTAAGACTGCCCCAGGAGCCAGGAGAGGGAGAGCTGTTGGATCACTCCCTTGAGGAAAAAGGCAGTCCCTGTTGAGACCATCAGCCACCTCTGGGATTTTGGTCTTGGTCTTTTCTCACATCCACTTCAAATTCACAGGGAATGGCAGCCATTTGGAGGGGGAAATATATTTTTCAATGAGAGCAGCTGAAAAATCTGCCTGGGGACCTCTGCCCTTTTCGAGAAGGGCCCACATTCATGGTCTGTCCATAGCCAGGTATGCTGCAGTGCTACCGCAAAGCAAAGTGAGACAAAGACAGTGAAAGAACAGGACAAATGACAGGCCAAATGTCAGTGGTTGATCACTGGAATGCAGATCTTAGCCTCCAAGGGGAAAATTACTTGCTTACTTGAGCAGCAGATCTATGCAGTAGCTGTCACAGACTACAGGTATCCCCCTATCACTCTGGATGCACTTTGCTCTTGCTCTCCCCACCATACCTGTGCCATCTGCCCGCTAGGACCCAAGTGCTACACTTGTGTGGCCCCTCCTTGCCTCGTGCCAGCTCTTCGCACCTCCTGCTGCTCCAAGAGGCCGGCCCCGAGCGCCACAGCCACATACCTGCCCCAGCTCCTGGCTTCGGCGGCGGCGCTGCAACCCCGCGCGGCCTCCGTGAGGCAGCCGGCAGCCCAGCTGTGGGCCGCTTGCTGCCGCAGCGCGAACGTCCTGTCCACCAGCTCCGTGCTGCTCACTTCCAGCCCCTTAATGAAGACGCCCGTGTTGCCATATCTGGCAGGTTCGCTCAGCGTCCGCTGGCAGCCTGACCACAGGCTCTCGCCGCAGGGAAGGTCGAAGCTTTGGGCCTTGCGGAGCAGCCTCTTGGGCGGCGGCTTCCTCGAGGCTGCAGCGGGGACGTGGGATGGTTTCACCTCCATGGTTTCCAATATGCTCTCCAGGTTTGGCTTTTCCTCGGGCAGCTTTGGAGACTTGGAGGCCCCACTGCTGAACGAACCTCTGCTCGCGTGCGGAGCTGTGCTGAGCGTGGCTGGGCAGGCAAACTCTTCTCCAGCGCTGACCTCCCCCGGGCAGCTCAGGGAGGGTGAGGGAGCTTTCTCCTTAGTCCAGCCTGGAGAGCGGTTGGGCCTGTTATAGCAGTGGGGAGCACTGGACGTCCTGTCCCAGCGTGGCCCCGGCGCGGTGCCCTCCGGGGGTTGCCGGCCACCCACGCTGGGCTGCTCCCCCTCGGCGGCCTGCAGCTCCGCGGGCAGAGACCTGCGCGTTCTCAAGGCCGCCTCGAGCTTCTTCTCAAAAACCAGCTTCGTCTCTTGGCACTTGGACCAGGCGAATTTCCACTGCTTGAGGCCCTTGTCGCTCCTCAGCTCGCAGGCCAGCTCCTTCATCTCCTGGAAGCGGGCGTCACTGATGTGCGGGTGCTGCCCCTTGTAGCTCTCCAGGCACTTCAGCACCTCGCCGCAGTGCTCGGGGGACACGCACTCCTCCATGCTGATGCAGGCGAGGTGGCGCATCCCTTCCAAGGCCCACTCGTACGCCTGCAGGGACGAGGACAAAAGGCAGCAGAGAGTGAGGGAGCCCCTCAGAAGAACAACCCCGACTTGGCACGGCGGGAGAAAGGATCAGTGTGTGGCGGGCGCAGGTCCCGAGCACGAGCGCAGGGGCGGCTGCTGCTGTCAAAGGGGCCAAACAATTGAGCAGGACAAACAGCCCCTTGTGCAGCGCCTTTCAGCTGCGCTGGCTCCACCTCCCCGCCGGAGCCTCTGGTGTCCCCCTGCTGCTGGGGACACGTTTGTCTTCTCCGGAGCAGGGAGGAGGGAGTAGGGATTTTTCCCACCTCAGAGTGGTGGGAATTAATTCAGGAATCTGAATTACTCGTTCTCCTAAGGAACCGTGACATCCCTGGCAAGAGCAAGGAGCCCTCCATCCAGGCCTTGCCAAGGGGTGGGGATAAGGACTGCCTCTTTCTCCACCAAGGAGGGAAGATGGCAAGGTTCAGCTAGGAGGTGAATAGGTGATACTGTGCTGCCCCTCTACTGAGGCGCACGTGCTCCAGCTGTCATAAACCCGGTCGGGGAAACTCAGCGTTCACCCCAAGTAAAATATATTTGTGAAAATCAGATGCAATGGAGCAGGAACCCCTCTGAGGTCTGCTTGGGTCTGTCACTCAACAGTCTATGTCCCATAGGTGCAGGATGGCCTTGAGGTCAACAAGAGCATCTCTAGCACTCGTCTTGCCAGGCCCTGCACACCTGCCCTCCTGCATTTCTTGGCATCTCTTCCATCCCCCACGCCTGTCACAGGGTGCTGCCTGCCCAGCTTTGCGTACGGCACACTGGAAGCAGCTCTCTGCACTCCCCTGCTTGATTGGTGCCATGCTAAGGCCACTAAGCCTTTTTTCCCACCTATGTCATCTTCAACTGCCCTTTTTAGCCCTGTCCAAGGTGGTGCACAGCTGGAGCTGGAGTCCCTGCCCTCATGCAGCTGGCCCACCAAGCTAAGAGCTAGCCCTCAAGCCATGGGGCACTCAGGCCTACAGCTTCCCCAAGGGGCTGCAGGAGCCACTCGTGCTTCTAAGGAGGCACCTGCACGTAAGGAAGCTCCATCTTCCTAACTGTGTTGAGGCAGGAAGCAGTCCACACCTTGGATTTAGATGGGTGCTGATGAGTCGTTACTGACCCGTGCAATTACAGCAGCGGAGGCAATGGTGCTGCTGGTGATCGTAGGGCTGACCTGCCCAGCAGGGCCAGAGGAGTCACAGCAGGAAGGTCCTGCCTGGCTGCCCCAGGGCCTCTCAGCCACCTGCTACTCCATAAGGAAGAGGCAGGGACTTCCCTGCATGCAGGCGCAGTGCTGGGCCCGTCACCCGGGTGTTTGTCGCTGCTCGCTTCATCGCAGGCAGGGCTTGCAGCGCTCTCAGCACGGCAGCTCCCAGTCTGTGGCTTCAGCACCATCTGCGAGCACAGGCTGCGGGGCGTTGCTTGGCCCCAGTGCAGGGCACGTCACCAACACGGCACACAGAGCGTTTCAGGGCTCTGGGTGCTCAGGGAGGACACCATCCAGATATTACAACACCCCGGCCCAAGCAGACACCCACCAGATCCCTCTCAACCGTCCGGTTCAGAAGCGCCCAGGAGATGGGTAAAACGCAGACACTGCTCTCCTGTACGCCAGCGCCTGCCCCAGGGGCTGCAAGTTCCCTCGGTACAGAGCTGCTTTCATTCCCTTCGAAATCCAGTGTTTGCACCTGCCCTAGACACTGCCAGCTTGGAAGAGCCACCATTAAAAAGCAGTTTTGCTTCGAAATGTTACTAAAAGCAAAATCATTCAGGCTAAAATGCTATGGTCCCAAGGAGAGTTTGCCGAGAGCACCTTCTTGGTGAGATGCAAGCTTGGGGGTGGCTACGCGCTGTCCTCCCACCCAGCAACAGCAACGACCCCCTGGCAAGAAAAAGGCAGCGGGGAAGGGACGGAGACGTCCGGACTTGCAGGCAGTGATCCCGAGACGCCGCGTCCTACCTTTGTTTTCATACAGGGGGGTCCATATTGCTTTGCTGCAGGTCCCGTGGTGGCGGGCAGGAGGAGGAGGCAGGGCCCCCTCCGGGCTATTCACAAGCTAAAGCCAAAGTGAAATAGCAGCGAGCGGCCCTGGTAACCGGAGAGCAGCCGGAGGGGGAAGGGGGCCGGGCATCGTGCTAGGGCTGCTCAAGGGTGCCAGGAAGCCCCCGGCTGGGCACAGGCTAGACCCCTGGTCTCGTAGAGGGGAAGAAAACACCCCAGTCAAGCCCGAATCCGAGCAAAATTGAGAGGCAGCAGCACGTAAGACATACAAGGGCTTCGCAGGGAGCACAGCGAGCTCCCCTGGGCCTCGCAGTGCTCTTTCTTTCCATATCCCTAAAAGCAGAAGCCCCTGCCGACTTCTGGCAGGGTTTGTGGCTTGGCAAAGGGGCAGCTCAGGCTTAGACGGACGAGAGCCCTGTAATTTCAAGGCATGGAAAGTTCAGCAAAGCCGCCAGCAGCGAATCATCTCTTCTCCGTGGAGGCTCTCCGATCCTCACCCTGGCACCACGCGATTCGTCCCCATTCGGCTCCTCAAGTCCCACCTGGGAGGCAGCAGCAGCAGAAGGCAAACTCGTCCCCACCGTGTCTTATGCAGTTTGGGGCCCGCAAGAAGCTGCCTCTGAGCATCGGGAGAAGAACTCGTGCTCGCAAAATCGCCCTCCAGGGCAGGAAAGACCAATATAATGACCAACTTGGCCTAAACGCAGCTACTAAGAAGTCAAATTCTCTAACGCTGTGTTTACATCACACCCACCATGCTGGGCGCTACACAAACATGGCAGGAGGGCGGAGGATGAGATGAGCACAGACTGCAACTTGCTCGGATTGAAACAGTAAGAAAGGAGGACGGACAAACACCCACCGTGAGGCAGGAAAGGATGAGATGGGAGGGGAGTCAGTGTCGAGCTCAGCACCCCGTGGTCCAGCAGCAGCCAGGACAGGGTACAACCAGGCTGAGCTCATGAATCCCAGCGTGCCCCCATTATCCCTGCTCCAGCACAGGTCAGAGCATCCCCAGAGCTAAGCCAGGGAAACGACACCAGCTTAACCAAATCTGGCTTGTTAAACAGAGCAAAATCCTCTGTGCATGTGTATAAAAAGGTACATAATGCTATGCATGTATAAAAATAAAGATTCCCTAGAAAGCTGGGCAGTGAGTAGCTGAGATTTGCCGCTCTGCAGCCCGCAGTGCTCAGCAGCTACAGATCCCTGGCCAAACAGCACAGCAGCTGCCCCCGGGCTGTGTTTCCATGGTTTTCTCCTTCTTGCTGAGGAAGGAGTCTTTTTCCTCCCAACAGTGCAGCGTTTCTTAACAACATTTAAGAAGTCCTGAACTTGCAGGATCTCCATGAAGGAGGGTCTCTGTATGGCCAGCAGTTTATCAGACCTTGTAGCTGCATTGGGCACAGACACAAAATACAGATGTGAAATAAAGTATTTGCCAGCCCCAAGGAGCTGGAGTAGCAAAGGACAGTTTTGCCTACCGAGAGCTGCTCCGGCTGCTGCACCGGCCTCTCCAGCCACTGCTCCCACCGGGCATCCAGGGGCTGCTCCTCCTTTAGGTTGCTACCTGCCCCGGAATCACGAAATCCTCCAAGAAGGTCTCCCATTGCCGTCAGGGGAATAAGCCCCTGGTTTAAGGGCAGGCGCTGAAGACTCGCAGGATTTCAGCCCCTGCTGGGGCGTGTTGAGGTGGCGGGATGGGGGAAGAGCCCCCTGTCCATATGGCGAGGGCTTTGATATGCAGATGGTGGCTATTGTGCCTTGCAGCTCCATCTGCGCCGCTGCAGTCCGGAGCGGGTAACTCCTGTGACTAAAGGGGATTCCAGCCTGCAGGAGGGCTCCCCACACCCGCACGGATGCCAGCACGCGGGCGCCTGGCCCCCTCTCGCCCCCAGAAAAGGAAGCACCAAAGGCAACATTCGGCCTTGGGTGAACACCAGATCTACCACGTCCAGCTCACCTCAACACGTCCTTCTTGGGCTGCAATGGTGACGCGGTCACCTCCCTGCGTGGATCTGCTGGCGCTCCTGGGAGCACAGGGAGCACGGCCATGTGAGCAGCCTAGGCCACAAAACGGGCTATGTGCTGGTTTGGTGTCACCATCCTCAGCCTCTCCTACCTGTCATGGCTCTCCAGCAAGGGGCAGGAATCAGTCAGGGCAGCAAGAGGGAGATGGATCCAGGATCCCCGGCCAACACGTGGAGGCTCTACCCTCCTGCACGTGCCACGAATGCATCGTGACGTGGAGGAGAGCCTGAGCTACAGTGGCATGGACTCGGAAAGTGTCTGACCCCAAGAATCTGTCACCTTCAAGTGTGAATTTGGCTGGGATTTGTCACCTGAGCATCCCCCTGCTGCATACAGTCCTGAGGGACAAACTCAGGCATTGGGCTCAGCCCTGCGTTGAGCAACTAGAAGGGAGTATCGGACACTGGAGCAGATATCTGGATTCTGGAAATCCAGATTTCTCCCAAGGGAGCTGAGCTTGCTGGGAGGCAGAGACATCTCTGAGATGTCAACTTGACAGTAAAGTTGTTGGTTCAACCCAAGAGGAAACAGCCTGAAAACCAGTAGATCTAGCACTGAATTTGGGGAGAATTTACTCAAAACAGAAGGGCTTCTCAATCGTAAATTTGGAAAGACAAGCTGGGGAGCTGTAGAAGGTTGAATCAGTCAGGGATTCTTCCTTGCCCAAGTAGACAAAATTTCTGATATATGAATACCCTCTGCTGGGAAAAATCAATATCAGAGCTGTGTAAGACCACCTCTCTAAGCACAAACCTGGTGGGAAAGAGAAGGGAGAGATTTCAGGCATTAACCTTGCAGGAACTCTGTAAGGAGATCTGCTTTCCGACCTCCAGGCTCAATGCCTCAACTGCATCAGACTTGAAAATGGACCCCCTGAAACAGGAGAGTGAATCAGACCAGGTGTCTTTCTGGCGTCATGATTTTAAGAGCCTAAGAGAGCACACGGGCGAAAGGGAGAGACTCCTGGGTATGCTGCTGGAAACCACTATAGAAACCCTGCTTCTACTGAGGTGCTGCCATTCACAGCCCTCCTTTTCTCAGCAGTGAATAAGCAAAAAGGAGCAGGGATTATTTATTATTTCTTAAAGAGGGGTTGGAAAGATTCCCTCCAACCCATGCTGTGGGACATCATCAGAATTTGAGCACGGTAGAAAGGAGAAATCTCAGCAGGGAGCAGCCCTGGACCTTTCAGTGACGACTGAGAGGCAGCAACACCTGCAGACGCCCATCTTGTTTACCATGCCCTGTGCTTCAGTTGTCTCATCTAGAGATTAGATGAAGCTGGGAACACTGTCCGAGCAAACTGCAGTCACTCACAGGACAGGGAAGGCCAGCAAACCTTGCAGCAGCCTAGAGAGCATCCGCCTCTCGACCAGTCCGCAAGCTTTAATGGAAAAGTGGGATGAAAGGTGCCACCTTCCCCTGAACCCCTTGAGAAGAAGGGGAATAGGGACAGGTGGTGTTAGGGACGGCGCGAGGCCGGAATGTGGGCAGACGGTGCAGGGCTCTGGCCGTGCACATAGAGGAGGCGCCTGGAGCGCTCGGACCCGCGCTGAAAAGCTGCCTCTCCACTGTGTCCCAAACAACTGCAACGCGAGCGACACATCGGCCGGGGCGCATGACACTTGCTCCTTATAAGAGCCTTTCCTGGCCCCTTGGCTGCTGGATGTGGCACAGGGTGTATCCTACGCGGAGAGAGAGTGTGTGCCTGTTTGCAGGGGGGCCCCAGACACAGCAGTACCCGCTCCTGGGCCGGAGCGCCCAGGCACTGGCATTCCTATGGCCATGGACAACAGGGAGATGCTGCTATAAGCAAATGTGGGCCAGCTGGCCCTCCCCCAGGAAGGGGGTCCACCTTTGCTTGTCAAAGACTTTGTTTTTCTAAGCCACAAGGAGCAAAGAAGACATGAGTGAGAGGAGGGAGAGGTGCTGCGGGCGCAGAAGCCGCATGTGAGCGCAGAGAGCCCCGCTCTGTGAGACGCCAACAGCGTCTTCAGAGCACTGCAGCACCAGAAGAAAGGGAAATCAGTTTAGGAAAAAGTTGCTTTCCCTTCAGCCTCCCAGACCACACTGCTGACCCCGCTTTGAGAAGGCACCATGGAGCACTCCGGAGACAGAGATCAAAATACTTGGCACTGGAAGGACACACATTTCTGCACTCGTGCTACAGATACAGGATGGATCCCCTCCACACCTCTAGCTTCAGCTGGCCACTGGTTCACGATATCCATGTGTTGTAGCTAATGTTTATAGATCTACTGAAACCAGGGAGATCAAACCTCTCTCCTCCACAGCAAAGCAGTGCAGACACATCGTGCTCCGTCCCCGAGATTTTGCTGGAGCTGTGCAGCATGAAAGCTGCAACCTAAAGAGATGCTGCTACCAAGGAGTGTATTCCCCTTATTGCCAGGCACCAAAAAAGGGAGGAGCTAAATGCTATGAAGTCCTCCAAAAAGAATATGGGCAATTCAGGGATCTGTGTAACAGCTATGTCCTGGGAATGACCAGTTACTATTGTGCAATGCCAAACACCTGCGTTCCTGCCGTTCTCCCAAATCACTGGTTCTTCCCACGAAAAAGGAAGGCACATTCCTGCAGCAAGGGGGTCCCCTAACCACAGGGTAAACTCAAGAGATGAGCTACAGCAGACCTGCAGAGCAGCACCAAACAAACTCAGTCCTTGCACGGCCTGACAGTCACGTTCTGGGCTGCCTTTTCCATGTCCTCCCTCACATAAGATGCTTCTTAATGTTTTTGTGTTTTGCCGAATTTTCTCTCCCTCCCCTTAGCACTTTGGGCTGCCAAGATGGCTCAGAGACAGCAGCTAAGTGGCACTTACATCTGGTACAGCTTAACTTGTAGTGTCTTATTCTTTCTGGAATTTGAGAACTTCAGTACCCCGTGTTTGCACGAGTGTTGGATAAACGGAGCCGAGGCTCGCTGGTGCTCTGTGCTTGCCGAAGCTATATTTTAAAATGCACTTGAAAAAAACCTACTGTTTATTCATCTGCAGCTTTAGAAACTGAAGTGCGCCAAGTCCAACTGCAGGGCTGCTCAACAGGTCTATTCCATCAAAGCAAAAAGGTGAGAATGCCAGAAATTCAGCACTGTCACCACATGCATCACCTGCTCCTCTTGCTTCCCAGCAGCTTGGGCCAACCCCATCCCTGGATCTCACTGCCTCAGTCATACTCCCCAGCGCCCTGGCCTGGGTCTCAGGCCTCCAAAAGTAGAGGGATTAGGGTGTATTTAGGAGCAAATAGCAGGACACTGCTCTTGATGCATCACACTGAATCTCTCACTTCGATACAGTAACCACGATGGTCCATGACCCAGAGCTTGAGATAACAGACCACCTCCATTCTTAGTAATATGGACATTTTGGAACACATACCCATCCGTTCTCCAAAATACTGTCTTGAAAAAGAAATGCACCATAGAAAGCTCCAAGTGGCTTTTCCAAATCACAGATACAGCTCCCTGCTTGTGCACAAACTGCATCTCCTGTCCTTCATAATCCACCAAGCTCTAGCCTCCTCACCCCTCATCCCTGCAGCAGACACCTTCTCTCACCTTGTCAAAGAATTCATAGAGCCTGACTGTCTCACAGACCCGGTGCCTGTTCTCATCCAGCTGAGTGCAGAACTCCTCCAGCTGCTCTCTATAGGTCTGCAGCTTCACTTTGTAAGCCTGGACATCCACAGAGGAGAAGTCTTCCCATCGATCCATCTTCTTCAGCGCTTCCTGTCCCCTTTTGCAATATTCCTGAAAACAAAACACAAATGCATGTGAGGATATGGAGATCACACAGACACTATACATGGAAACTACCCACTATGGTAGGTAGTCTTCAAAGCCATTAATAGCTGAGGCTAATTAGGGGGTTGAGGTTCAAATGTGGTGGGTGGGATGTTCTTGTTACAACAGAATCCTGAAGAGTCCTGATATCTCATATGACACATATTAGCCACAGAGCAGCTTGTAAAGGTCTGTGGTCCTTTTGAGGCCACAGACTAATTAGGATCAAAACAAGTACCTCAGCAGATTAAAAAAAAATCTTCCATCACAATAGTTATTTTTCTCAAAACTGGCAAATGCCCTCCAGTGAGCTGCAAGGGAGTTGGTGGCTTTGCCTACAACAGGAGGAGAGATGGAAAGTAAGCTCTCTTTTCTAACCAGACCGCACTTACACTGGCAACAAGATCAAATTCTCTGAACTGCTTTTGTGTTTGAAGCAGCATCTCCAAAGAATCATCCAGGTTGATCATTTCCTTTAGTCCTTTTCTGCCAACATTCTCAATCCAACTGCTGACCTAGAAGAGAAGGAAAAAGCTCCACTATTAGTCACTGTGATACTTTCCTTCGAGTGGAAAGAACAGGGAACTGCTCTCGTAAGGTTGGTCATTTCATTGCTGGAAAGAATGTGTCTATACACTTCTCCCCCCATTTTGGCATTTCAGCGCAAACCTTCTCTTTGGTTTATTCCCATTTCAGGTTACTGCGTAATTGCTCAACTCCCCTATTGCTCACCCAGCCTTAGGCACAAACAAGGCAAGTAGTTGCTTGGGTGCTGTTTTGGGTGAGCCGTGGTCTAATGTAAGCTCTGAGACTTGTAGGCTAGCCTGCTATTCCTCTTATTGCTCCCCCAAAATGGGGTAACAACCTGTCTGCCACCAGCTTGCCTGCACCCTTCCCAGTTCTAACTGGTAGAGAGGGATATGAGCTGAATTAATGTGAACTTACTCATGGATTCTCATCCTTTGCAATGTTTCATGCTTCTTTAGGGCTCTTCGATAGGGATTTGCAGCCTCTATGTCATGGCCCAGTCACTGTTATAGTTATAAGTCTAGTTATGAGTCTACAAGTAGGCAACTCATTAATGAGAGCGTCCTCAAAGCAAAGCAGACACAGAAGGGTGGGAAGGACAGCACAGCAGCAATGAAGAAACTGGTTCTAGTGCTATAAGAATATAGGTTCTTAAGGAAAGCTCCACACAGCATACAAGTCAAATGATGCATATCTATATGCACGAAGTCCTAAGTGATACATAAAGCTGCTCATTGCTGATGACTTACAGCAAAGGAGATTTTCCACGGGAGTCAGACATAGAACTCCATAATCTGGAGGTAAAATCCAGGCTTAGGGAGCTTATCTAGAAACCACAACACTTAAAGGATTGATTACATCCTGCAGGATGCTCAGAGAGCCTGAGCTACTCTGCTGACTTTTTAAAGTTTGCTGTCTACACAGCTAAAGGTTTCCAGAGTCCTTCTGGAAACCAGAACCTGTTGACTTCAATTCTGCCATGGCTGTAAAGGGTTATGACGACCCCAAGGAAGGGAAGTGAAAACCTCCAGGAAGGAGCTCAACGTGGCTCTTGCTCTAAGGACAATATGTTGGGCCTCTGCTTGGAGACTCTGAGACAGCGACTGCACCCAAAGGCCACAGAGTGTAACCGGAGCACATTATACACCAAGGGCCTGAGCTCCACACAGGAATCCAGACAGCAGTGTGCTAGTGTGGGATATATATGATACATAGCTCATTCAGCAGCAGGATTTGGGCAAACCATGCCCAGGATCTACAGGCCAGAGGACACAGGGCCTCAGCGGTAGCTTGTTGCCATCACTGCTGCTTCTCAAAGCAGAGCCTGAGGAACAACTTCTCAATATACCTGGTGGGATAATATGTTTTTCCGAGCACTGTGAGAAGACATCCCACCACCAGCTGTGTTGCCTACCCAAGAGTTCCTGCACTGTGGTTTGTGAGTCGGGAGAAACCGCACAGACATGTGTGGGGTTTCACCGAGCCACACCTAGAGAGCAGCAGATTCTTACCTGCGCTCGGGAGATACCAGGCAAACACTGACTTCGTTCTCAACACATCTCAATAACCTCAAATTCGTAAGTTTGGTTGTTCAGACCTTCTTTCTGAATGTCTACAGGCACCATGCTACAAGAAAAGGCTTCACAGAGGGATCAGCAGCCCCAGGAGCTGCTGTGAGCTGCACAGGCAGAGGGTGGCAGCAGGAGCTGACAAACAGGCCTTACCTCCTTAAAACACTCGTCTACTTTCTCGAACTCCATCACCAGCTCCAGCTCCTGGATGCGTCTGTTTGACAACATCACCAGTCGGTGAACGCCCTCATCAACCTGATTATAGAGCACGCCGGCAGCATCGAGTGCGTCCCTGCAAGGGGATACAAGTCTGGTCAGGGGGGGTTGCATTAGGTTTTCACCCTCCAGCGCTTCACACAAACATGAGCTGGCTAAGAGCAGCCCTGCAGTCATCCTCCCAGCGGGACTCAAGTAATGGCCACCTCCAGATGGAAAATAGAGAAAATTCTGTGGTTCCCTGCTCCTTCCTATGAGTCACTGCTCTCTTGTTTCCAGTGCAGAAGCCTTGGCAGGAGGGACAAGAGCACTGCCTCTTGGGCAGGTTCCTTGTGACATTTTAGTCTAAATGTCCCACGTTGGGAAAGGAAACTCAAAAAAGGCAAAGTGCACAGCGCCCAGTGGGCAAGAGGAGGTGAATTTGACAGCGCTGGGCTGGGAGCACTCACAGAGGGAGCTCCGGCCTCCCCAGGTAGCTGTGCTGACCAAAGCACAGGAGGTGCCATGCGGCACTTTGCCCCTCCTGCCAGCTTGGCCACGGCAGAAGTTGATTCCTACAGGCGTAGGCAGGTTGGAACAGGTCAGGTTGGAGCCAGGGGCTGAGCACACTCTGTAATCCAGGCCAGACGACAAATGTCAGCAAGTTCCTTCAGCTTGGAGCACATCGGAGGCAGGATCCAGGAGAGGATGGAATTCAAGCTCATTCTTTCTTGGCGTTCCTGAACTTCCCACATTTCTTCTGTTTCTAAATTTTCCCCCTTTTACAAAGACTCAGCTGGCACCTACCAGAAAACGCTACAATTTCTTTCTGCCTGTAGCTGTGCAAACTGTGTCAGACTGTGTTGCTGCTGCAGCACTTCTTGTGCTCACCCTAAACCGGCACCCACATACATTGGGCCTACAACACTCTGCCTTATGGCTTTCCTTAATCATATCATTAAAGTTACCCAAAGCACTTGTGAAATAGAGAGCTAATAAAAGTAGGAGAGCTTTGCTAATGGAAATTAATACAAGCAGTTTAGGATTTGTGTTCATCTCTGCCTCAAGCTACAGACATTTGAACCTATCCGGCACAAACCATCCTGAAGGTTTTAGCTGGTACTTAGTGGGCGCAAGGCAGTGCAGCAGCTCTGGACAACCAGATCTGCAGAGCCGAAATCCACAGGGTTTTTCCAGTGGAAATTCCACCTCCTGCATATTAGCCAACATCTCAAACCTCAGGCTCTTAAGATACTTTTGTTTTTCCACTTCAAAATGCCATCAGGCTGAATGGATTTCTCCAAAGGGCAGCCAAAAAAGAAAAAACACTACCCAAGTTGTCTCTGGACTGAGATCAGGATGACTGCAGTGGAAACAGGTTCTCTGCGAAGGGGCTGCAAGACCCAAGCTGTGAGACCCAAACATGCCCCTAAACATAGAGTGATGCTGTTAGTCGGCTGCTTTCCTAGGGACAGACCTGAATCCCAGCCCGGGAGGCTGTGGCGGCGGAGCCGTATCCAGTGTCTGTGCTGAGCTCTGAAAAACCGGGTTACAGAGCAGGTTCTAGAGGCAAGTGCCTGTCGGCAGCAGCAACACAGCTAGGAGAGCTCAGGAGAAACAGTGTACGAGAGGGTTTGAAGGCGCATTTCGCAATATTAGGGCTGTTGGGCTTTGCACAACAGGGACTATTTGTCAAGTCCTACTTTCTGAACACGGTTCGGGGATCGACTGCTGGACAGGCAGCCCTCTCATGGGGCTGAAATTCCTGCTAGCATGCTAAGGAAAGCAGATGTGCATCCCAAATCCTTCCCTTGCCATCAGCGTAGGCAAGCAAGCCCCTGCAACTTGCCACGTTACAGGCTGCTACACGTAACACCATGGGCTGCAAGGATTTGCCAACTCTGAGCTACATTTTGATGACACGCAGCAATGGGGTCATTTTCAGCTCCCTTTTTCTTCAGAGGGAATTCTTACGCAGCCAACTCACGATAAGGAAGGAATGCACAATATCAATATTTAACAAGGTACTGCAAGACGGTAACCTGACAGCGCAGCAGCTTGAAACAAGAGCTGCAGCTCTTGTGTTGGTTGACCTAGCGTGGTATGTAACGTGATAGAGGGAAAGGCAGCCCCGCGCCACTCCACACCCAGCTGGAGGAAACAGGGCTCCAGCTGTCCTGCTCCCCACTCACAGGTTTCAAGCAATTCTCCTTGACAGAAGTCAGTCACAACCTGGGCTGGGTGGCTGCAAGGACTGCAGGTAGCACTGGGCATGCTCCTGCAGCAGGAAACAGCTTCTTCTGAAGACAGCTCTGTAACTGCGGAAACACCCTTAAAATACAGGGATAGGAAGTATCAACAAAGTAACGAAGATTTCTTTCTTTTTTATGGAAATACACCTGCTAAAAGCTCACTGGGAAGAGGTTAATTCGCATGTGCCATCTCTGAGCCTCATGGAGAAGACACACCGGTTTGGAGTGCAACTGAGATCAGTACTGGCCTCATGACGACTGAACCACTCTGGGGAAAGTAGGGTTCAAAAACACAGCAATAAAATATACCTACTGGCCCATCCACAGAGCCCAAGGAGACCACCCTAGGTAAGGAGCAAAGATGCTGATGAGTGGTTTCCTGAGGAGATGAAGCATTGAAGAAAATCCATCCCAAATGACAGTGCCCTCCTGGCTTCACACATGCCTTGGCTCCAGAGGAGGAGCTGCTTGTCTTCATTTGTAGTTTGGAGCACTCGGGCTGCTCCCTTATTCTGGTGATTTAAGACATTTTGTTTTCTTGAATCCTTGCAGCAGCCCATCATACACTTCTTGGGACACAATACAACAGCCTAGAGCTGCCAGCAGTTTGCTGAGTGACCACACAAGGCACCCAGAATAACCATTTCCAAAAGGCTTCCGGAGGCTCAGAGCCCCAGAGGGCCTTCAGGTGAGTCGTTCCTCCTCCTCCTGCTCCTCATCTGAGTCCCTCCAGCATCCCAGCACCCCAGTTCTCTGCTTCAAGACACAAGCCCTGCACTTTGTGCGTGTTCTGCCTCGCCTGGCTGGCATTCATTAAAACTTGAACTTCTAGTTGTTGGTCTTCTGGTGCATCTCCAAGGGAACTCCATTCACACACTGTCAGCTCTTGACAGTTCAATTTGACCGGCCAGACAGGCTCCCCAACCAACATGCATCTTTTATTGCCTTGCACACAGGATCATATAACCCTTTTCAGTCTAGTATTATAAAAAGGGGGTAGGCAAACTGAGCCAAACAAAGAAACCCCTCATGGTCCATGGGAAAACTTAAGGTTTTTTCACTTCTCTTCAACACTGCCCAGTGGAGACTTCTTGTGAGAACTGGGAGTGCCCGAGTTCTCCTAACCCCATATACATCTGTCCACCTATCTACAAATGTCCACCCCAAGTCATTTATGGTATACTAATAAACTCAATCATGTCTTGCAACAGCGAGTTCCACCAGATAATTATCCCTTACATAAACAAATCCTTCTTTTTCAGGGGCAGACATAAAAGCATTTCAGTCCTGCCCTTAACTGCTTTCAAAGCAGCTTGGAGTAAATAAAACAAATATGGAAAAGGGTGTCAGAGAAGAAAACGTGTCTCACAACCAGCTCCAAGTGAAACTTGGGGTTAAGCCCCTGGAAGAGATTTTGACAGTGGCCTGTGCAGCTCCAAGGAAGAAAAGCAGGCGGTTGTCTGAAGCCAGTGGAAAGTTTTGTCTAAGCTTGGATTTGTTTGGATGCTCTGAAACCTCCCCGCGCGTGTGAGTGCGGGGGGAAGTCCTTCCCTGCATTCTTCCATACTCAAATCATTTAAGGCAATTTTGCAAGAGCGCCGAGTCAGTATAATTTATGGCAAAATGGAGTAGTTTGATGTCAGTTTATGTTTTCCCAAATCCTGTTTTCATTGGGCAATTATCATTTCAGTGGAAAAGGTTCCAAATGTCTTCGGTCTACTGGAGAAGTGCCCAACTGTTGTATAATGTTAGGGTAATTTTAAACCTATAATTTAGAGAGAGAGAGAAAAAGGACTATTTCTGTCTGAATCCATCCCTCAAAACTTGCTAGCCTGGGAGAATCATGCTTCAGTTTTCAAAGCAAAATGCCTTGTGTATGAAAATACATGGTCACCAAAGAAGTGTCCACCAAAGAAAACCATCAGCAAGAGGGGCAGAAACAGGGCTAAAAGCAGAGCCCAACCTCTGACTAACCCTGGTCCATTTTTAAAATGGCCAGTGTCCAAGAATGGAAGGAAGTCAAGACACACTGCCCTTTTCTCGGTGTATTTGACAGTGCTTAAGCACGTTTACTCCAGCTAACTTGCACAGGCAAACCAGATATCCCTAATCGTCCTGTAATTTAGAAAAAACATAGCCAGATGCTCCATTAAACACATTTAATGCTCCGCTCCCAGTACTGAACTTCCCTAGTGGATGTCTCTAGAGGTTTTGGTAGAAAGGAGGAGGATGTGGCAACTAAGAGATTTAGAGGCATGTTCTGAGGATAACACCAGTTCACTTGTGCTGGGATTTGGACTGCAATCACTTACACGTCCTGGACTATCTTCCAGGCCCAAATCCTTGCGAATTTGCAGGGAAGTATTACATGCCTTAGGACTGTTTTACTGGAACATAAACGCACTAGAGACTTTCCTGGTCATTAAAGTGTTTCAGTAGCAACATACCCGACTGCCACATTCGTAAGAACCCAATGAAAGGAGGTCAACCTCAAACGTGTCGCCTTGTTCTTCAAGCTGAAAAGTTTGCAACCAGGTTATCATCTGCAAAAGCCATGGTGAAGGTAATGCAGGTTCTGCTAACTAATTCTCCATCTGCTGCACACGAAGAGCCACAGTGGTTTTCTTCACCTTATAAAAGCACTCAAGTGGCTGGATTCAGGTTTTAGGATACACGGGTGTGCCTAGAAAGAGCCAGATGTCAAATTTGTTTTGGGGCCTCTTGGGGGACACCTGCAATTCATGATGGGGTTAGTATTTCTGGTTGCATTCACAGAGCTGAATGAAGTCCTCCTCAGCTGGGTTATCCGTCAAGCACACTCACTGGGATCAGCACCAGCCAATTC